CATATTCTTTTTTTTTTTTTTTTACAAGGTGTCCGGGCTTGCGTCCGACTAGATCCTTGTCCCTGAACCTCCGGCCCCTCAGCTGCTCAGAGAGGTAAATCGCAGGATGTGCCCTTGTTGGCTCCCAGGTTCCCACAACTCATTTGGACTCCTTCCGCAAAGAGAGCTCTCCTCACTGGGCGTTTGTTCACACCAATGGCTTCCTCTCCATATGGCTCCCAGTGTTAACTCCAGGAATCGAACTCCCCACCCTTGCTTCCAGCGTCCCAACGAAGTGATTGTTCAACCAACTCGGATGTGCCCTGGGGGCTCTCTTTACATATTCTGAATTGACGAAAAGCGTATGGAATCAAGGTATTATATATTTTCATTTTCCCAAGTATTTACTCATCTCCAGTAAATTAATCACATGTTAAGTATAGATCATCATGATATCATCTGCTAAATATCACATCATTGTCAAAATCAATCTAGGCATGACTCATCGATTAAAATTTCTGAGCTAATTTGGCACTTGTGACCAAGACTTCGTCAGAAAAAATACTTATTAGGGTTAATGGGACCCGCGAGGTTTATTATTTGCTCGATATTATTTGTAATGTCATTCTTTCAATAATGTCATTCTTGAAAGAAAATGCACAATTAAGTTTTGATTGAGCTAGGAAGTTCCATTAATGGATGAATTATGACTTTTATTACACTCGGTCATATCAAGAAATAATAGTAATAATTAAGAAATATAAAGATAAGCTTGTTTTTATTTTCACAAATATTAAGAAAGCATAATTAATATAGTTGGAAATATAAATTAAACTTACATTTTTTTTAATATATCACTATATTAAATAGAAATAGTTTAAGAACCAAACGTATTTTTATGGTACGGAACTTTTGATAGCCCCATTTGACTTCCATTATTTCAAATTATAATTTTTTTCTTATTTTCAACCATACAATTTTTCATAAAATGATATTGTAAATAAATCGAAAATTTTTCATTTTTTTTTTTCAATTACACATTTTAAAAAAAATATTATTTCAAAACTTATAAATTGAAATAATAGGATGGGACTAATCATCACATGGCACAATACCCACCAAAGCTTCTGGAAGGGTATCAGACGTACGACTTCTTGGAACAAGTAATTATTTTCATGTCAAGTTGAACCAAGGGATCCACAAAAATTGTCTCCTCTTAAGTCTTTACGTCAATTACCCAAAAAAGACGAGAGCAAGATAAACCCAGTAACCCACAATGCTCGTGTTGATGTTTGATTTGCTTATATACATAATACATTCATAACAATTATGCTACAGTGACCTAATGATTGACATAATTTTTGACATAATATTACATAACATTTTATCATTGAACAATTTTAAATACAGTCAATTTTTTTTATCTACTCATCCTCTCCTACAACACATCTGTCAACTTCTTTGTCATTTTTCTTTGTCGAGATAGATTAATCCACATTCACAACTATAACCTACTGAATGGGAAGGTTGATATACTCAGGGCAGCCCTTCAGGGCCTCGCATAGGTGAGGGTCCTCATGTTATTAATGTATAAACATTTATATATATAGATAAACTCATAAAGTGAATATAGAAGGCATCAAATGAAGTCCATGATTGGTGAAGATTAAAATGTATATTTTAATTTAAGTCAAAGTTAATAATTAAATTTAATAACATATTTCGCGGGATCCACGCCTTTTGAAGAATATTTCATTAACTTTTATAAAAATTTGCTGAAAAACCGATTTTAATCTTCCCCAAACATTGGCAAAGCTTAAACTTCCAAAAATCTCAAGTGTGGTCCTGAGTACGTATTTTTCTGTATGCAGTAGCTTGTACTATACATCGTATGTACACAAGGGAGGTGAAAGCTGATATCGTACACTATCACTCCAGAGCTGATAGCACGTCTCTATATAAAGAGAGAAGGCTTGGAATAATAGTGAGGCTGGCAAAGAAGGTAATTAAGCATGAAATCTGTCTCTTTTTACATTTATAATAATTGTATATTCTTCAGTTTCTCTTGAACCTTCTTCAGAGGAGCCCAAAATATTTTATACTTTGTATTTTCCTCATGCGAGAAGCTTTTCACGTATTTCTGAATAATTTACTTGTCCTCCTCAATATGCAGTTTCTCTTCGTATATGGTGGTGCTAGTGCAGAAAATAAAAGAAAAAAGGAGCTTAGTCAATGGATTTCTCAAATGCCCCGTGGTTCTCAGAGCTGGTAATTAGAAACTACATCGTTTTATTATATAATGCCAAATCTAAGAGCATCAAGGATTGAGTCAGTAATGCAGGGTCACTGACTGTCATTAATTTGTGGTTATAATTCACCATATCCTTATAGCATAAAAAAGATTAAAGTAATCCAATAATACTTGTAATGCTACAATGTTGTAACTGATTAATTCTACAGGGAGTGGAAAATTTAATTTTCGAGGATCAATGTGGTTTCATGGAGTCATTTGATGAAGATTTGGCTGCACTTCTTGGAGAAGAATCCCCGACTTTGTCTCCACGAAGTAATTGCTCATCAACTCTGATTCGGAGTAGCAGCTCTTCCACCGATTTGCGCACTTCATCATGCATGGAAAAAAATGAAGTGGCCATGGAACCACCATCCAAGCAGAAAAAGCCTGACAATTATAACTTTTCTAGGCCTAATCTTGATCCCTCTTCTACTCCAATCATTCTCAATTTTGGCAGCTTCAATTCTCCCGAAAGTCCTCAACCACTGAACCTAAGCTCCTTGAATCGCGAAGAAAAGGCAGCAGTTTCTGAAATTTTAGGAAATCCTGTCGAGCCTACTAAAAGCGCCCCAACAACAAAGAAAACCAGCCGGGTTAGGCCGCCATCTCAAACCTACGATCACATAATTGCAGAAAGAAAGCGGCGTGAGCAGCTCAGCCAGCAATTTGTTGCTCTTTCAACAATTGTTCCTGGCCTGAAGAAGGTACTGAATATTTCATTAACTTTTTTCATTTTTCATTTTAATTTTCCGTATAATTACTGGTCTATTCAAAAAAGTAATAATGATAAATTTTGACGAGCATATGATATTGACATTGCAGATGGATAAAAACTCTGTACTGGGAGATGCTATCAAGTATTTGAAACACCTTCAAGAGCGTGTGCACAGTCTTGAGGAACAATCAGCAAAACAGAACCTGGAATCTGTGATTGTCAAGAGATCGAGGCTTCAGATGGAAGACGAGGGATCGTCCTATGAGAGTAACAGTTCCTGCGAACAGCATTTGCCGGAAATAGAAGCTAGAGTGTGCAACAACCACATTCATCTCAGTATCCACAGTAAGAAACACAAAGGGGTTCTGTCGAAAATACTATGTGAGGTTGAGAAGCTCAATCTTACTGTAATATATACTAATGTCACGCCATTCGGAAATTTCGCCTTTGACATAAACATTATTACTGAGGTAATTACTCTATCAATGCTCGTGGATTTATTATTTCTTCAAATTATTAATTTATATTGAACTTCTTATTTTGTAGATGGAGGAAAAATCCAGCTTGACCACGAAAGAGATCGTAAAAATTCTTGATTCGGCCCTCCACCGTAGTGCATAGAGAGTGCAAAAGATTAATTAACGACGTAGCCCACGATTCCAAGAGGATGCATAGGAATGGAGTTTCAGCTAAGTTGATCGATTTTAACACAAGGAGCTAACCCATGGATTCCACGGGCAAGCCGATGAATTGGAGTTGACGTGACTTGGACGAGGATTAATGAGGGACTGACGAAAATAAATAAATAAAAATATGGTAAATAAATATGTATGTCTAGTCCTATTCAGGGGGGCATTTCATGATAGGCCATGGTCATGATATCAGGTGAATTGTTCCATCCAAAAGCGTCGAAGTTATAAATATTATCTTTAACTATATGCATAATTCCGATGTCTCTTGATTTCTCATCTTTGGAGCTTTTCTTTTGATAATTAATCATTTCCTCGTGAAGATGGTCTAGACACAGAGTACCATAAAGGTTGCCAGCCATGGTAAATTGGTACTAGAATATTGTCCCATCAGTGAATGAAATTAGTATGCACGGAAATAATACTGCAATATTAACTAAAAATGGTAACATTAATGCGTGTCGTTAAAATGGCACCGTCAATCAAATTGCTGTCACAAATACTTAACAAAATTCAGGACACCTTTGTTAGTTAGATTTGAAACAAATAAATTTTTATTTGATAAGTTATGAATAAATAAATTATCTATTTTAAAAATAATATAAGAGTTGCATTTGCCTATCCACTATTTTATATCTAATCCCTTTGGCCTTTGTTGTACCTGTTTAATGCCCATTAAAAAGAGTTTTTCTTTTGAAAATAAGTTTTAAAATAATTATTTTTTTGTGAATGTGTGGTTAAAAAATACGAAAAATTTTAAATTTATATGAAAAATATTTTATTGTAAAAATGTTTAGTTAAAAGTGTGTTTTAAAGAAAATGAATTGTTAAATAATGGTAAACGTTACTAAAGTGATAAAGTTTTCTCGACTATATCAACTATGATATTTGTGTGTTGTTTAATTGACGCAGGATGGAAATGTAGATAATAATAAAAGGGTCTTGTTCATAACATACGAATTAGTGTTTGCTTGAATTTTGCTCGAACGGACGTGAATATTATTTGGAATTCATCAAATAAATATTGGAATCCACCAATAAATTAAAAAAAATGTACAATATAAGCAAGATTATTACCTATTTTTACTAATACTAGAAAATTGAAATAATTATATTCTAATTAATAAAGAAACTATAGTCCTAATTAAATAAAAGATAAAAATTCTAGTACAACTAAATATAACTTGAAAAGATAAAGCTAAATGCAAGCTTCCTAGTAGGAAATAATGTTTATCTTATTTTTTTCCTTTCCTAATTGGTTTTGGATTTTCTATGGATATTGTCCCGCATTATTTATAGTTAACTTTTTTTCAACAATTAATTTTCATCACATATTTTAAGGGATCCATAATCTTTCATTTACACATTTCACAAATTTTTTATCAAAATTTACTAAAGACATGATTTGAATTCCCAACAAAACCTAGGCTTAAATGTTAAGAAGTGAAAGAAAAAGGACAAATAAACACAAAAAGAAAAAGGACATGAGGTACGTAGATTCCTGAAATCACATGCATTCTTGCTTAATCATGCCATGCTGTTAGTGAGGGTGTACCTTCCCTACAGTGAGGAGATTCATTTTTGACATTTTTATTCAAGCGGTTCCCACACGCATGTGAGCGTCGATCAATGTGTGTGTCAAATTCTTTCGGACAACTTAGCTTAATTCTTCTTGCAAATTGCACAGGAATGTTAGAGTGGTACATGAACAAAATTGATGGATGGTGTTTTCTGCGATTTTACACTTCCATAATTACCAAAATATTTTACGATAGATTTATTTTTCCCTTTTGTCTGTTCCAAGTTATATATCATTTTTCTTGTCGAGAGTATTATTAATTTCTTAATTTTCTAGTATACTTGTGTTTAATGTGTCTTGTCATCCATAAACATACTACTAAATCATTATTTAAAGTAGGAGTTGTTGGGGAATACACCGGTTCAAATGTGCATATTGTATTCACAAACGTAACTTACACGTTCAGGAAATCAAAACAAGGTTTCGACTTACCGAAATGGAGTTTGAGAAACTAATCAATGATTATCGAATATGACCATTTCCATTCTTGAATTAAAACATATGATTCTTCATATTAAACCTCACATAAATCATATAAATAAAATTAATCATTTTCTGAAATCAAATATGAAGAAATGAAAATCAGAAATAAGAAAAAAAATTAGATGCAAGTGATGTGATTGGCCGAGGCAAGTATAACTCTTTCCTTAAAATGAATTTGCCCCGCATCGATGCTAACGGTTTTCCAACAATCATCTCCCAAAATACAACGACCATATCAAGCTATAGGAGCACTCCAAATGGTTTCGACCAACGAACTCGAAAGAAATTTCCTCTCTACTATAACCATGATTTTGATACAAAATATAATCAGTTCTTCAAAGTGTTTTATGCGTAGTAAAGTGTAAAATATGGAATGGAATGAAATTTCTGAATAGATAAATCCAAACATATGAGGTCAATATATAGATGTTGAAAATGTTTGTCTCAAAAGACACAACCTATGAAAGAGACAAAACCATTGGAATTAGTCTCAATGTTTAAAGAGACACGTCTCTTGAAAAATGATAATGCCAAAAGTCATAATCTTTCATATAGAAAAACACATTTTTAGCCAAATAATTTATTGAATATTTCATAATATTTTACGCACTTTTCCAAAAGTTCACGTATCTAAGTGATTTAAATTTTGGCTTAATTTTCCATTCACAAAATTTCCAGCAAAATTTCAACGGGAGTATATTAAGAAAAGTTTATATTTCCAACTATATCAATTATATTTTCTTAATCTGTGTGAAAATAAAAACAAGTTTATCTTTGTAAGACAAAATGGATGTAAGATTTCAAATTTTTACAAGCATATTAGTACAGCTCCATTTGTTTGCGGCACTTGCAAGCCGAGCTACGAGAGTGAGCTGAGCTGCAAAACACTCGTCTGAGTTGCTTGATAGCTCGCTCGAGGTGGGTCGCAAGTCAAGCTAGGCGAGTCTACATTGACCAGCATGCACGGTGCGTTGTTTGGTGGGACAAGTCAACTTAACTTAAAAGTTTCTAATTGATTTCTTAATTTGAATTTTAATATTAGGTTTTTTGCTCTATCTTTCAATTATTCATCATAATCTTTTATATCAATAATATGACAATAGTTATTAAGCACCCGTTTGAGAATAATTTTTTTTCAAAATTACCTTTTCATCTTACTCATTTTTAACCATAAATTCTCGGCGGGGGGGGGGGGGGGATCATATTTTATATATTCTTATAATTTTACTCTATTTTTAATCACAAATTCTTAAAAAAGTCATTAACTTCACACAAGGATTAAGTTATTATTAATATATAAACATCCTAAATAAATTTAAAAGTTTGCGAAGTACGACAGTAAACCAAAAAAATCTGTAGTTGATTCCATGTAGTCCCTGTATCGGGATCCTTTTTTTTTTTTTTTTTAAATGAATTTATGTTATTTAACGTCTCTGTCTCCCACCTACCAGTCTGTTGATAAATAAATTGAAAGTAAACGTATCATTTATTTGATGATGCAAAATCGGTGGATTCGTTTGTTCTTCAACCACATGTCAAATGGCCAAATCAAATGTCGTATTCTTTAAAACTCGTAGTCCCCTATCTGATAAGTTTTTGGACCAATTTGATAATGATTTTCAGAAAATTTCTAGAACTTGCAAATGAACTTTTGCAATTTGTATGCATGTAATTCGAAAAAATGTTGTCATTTATTATCTAAAACAGTTACTAAAAAGTTGAGAGTAAAAGTCATAAATTCACAACTTTTCAACAACGTATTTCATGTGCTATCATCAAAACCTGCCAACTTTTTTATGAATGACTATATCTTGGATTATGCTAAAAAACCATGGGATCCCCGGTTTGTGGGGTTCGGTCAGGGAGGCTGCGTTTCTTTAGAATAGCCCCTATATCTTGTATTGTCCCCCCAATGTTGTCGACATCCAAAGCACCTATGAATCTAGTTAGGTGAGAAGGTGAGCGGTTAGGTGAGGAGGTAGGTAATGTGAAATTCTAATTCAGTTAAATATTAAATCAACAACCAAATCTCTTTTTTTGTGAGGTTATATTGCAAAATTTTCATTTTAGACTTTGTACCCCACTTGGATTGTGAGGCCTAATTTGTCACATTAATTTTTTTTTTTTAAAATTCATTAGCATAAAATGTAAATTTAAAAAACATATTTGATAAAAATAAGTAACTTAAAAAGTTTTGCATTTAAGCATATAATCAAACAAGATAATCAATTCTGTGAACCTAGTAAAGTATGTTTATTAATTTTCATAACATCAATTAATAAAATTCTGAGAGGCATATTTCAAGATTGTAATATTAATTTTTTTTTCTCGTCAAAATAGCTAGAGTAATTATCTCAATCCAAATTTGAGAGAAAAATTCAAAGAAAATAATTTCAATTGTTTTTATGGGTTTTAAAAGAAATGCACACAATTAGATAGATACATAACTTCTTTACAAAAAGATATCGTAATTGAAAAATATAAAGTAACCTTGCGAGGGAGAGTTACACACGACTTTCACAACATGACATGAAAATCGAATTTTAAGGAACTAGAATGCAAACAAATTTTAAAAGCTTAATGAACTTATGCAAAACACCACTTGAACGTTGTGTGGACCTATTTGAAGTTAGTTTGGCACAAATTATGATTTTTAAAAAAAATGTGTAATTAGAAAGTGAGAAAAAGTTGTGAGTCATGTAGAATGTGTAGTTGAAAATAATTTTGATAAAGAAATCACAAAATCTTTAACAAACAAATCTTCAATAAAGGTTGGCTTTGAAATGAATAGTACTTTCACTGGAACTTGATTTTGGATTGATAGTTGTATAAACCAATGTGAAATTCATTCGATAAAGCGAAAACAAAGAGAAGAAGGAGAAGAACAAAAAAACTTAAGCCACAAAATAAGAATTAGGTTTAATAATGAAACAATTTGGTTAAATATTACAAGAATCCTACCACAAAAAAGGAAACTACTATTATCAAATAATATTACACTTTATAATAGTATTGTGTTACCATATTTTATTCCTACCATCCCTTATCAAATTCATGATGCTACTGCAAGAAGCAGCAAGAGTTTGTCAAGCAAGAATTGGAAACGATGAACTGGATGAGATTTCATGAAAGAAGTCAACAAACTGCAATAATGAAGAGACAAAAGGTAGGGAAATTATGTCAGTCTGCATGTGATGGTGAATCAGACGA